TGAATAATGTAAATGAATTTGGGCATAAATGCTAAACTGTTTACATAAATGGCAGTTATTAGAGTTTCCCACAGCCAGGCACATTTAAACATTTTGTAGTTTTATGGCATTTATAGTTGGGCTCCATGTGAATACTTTTTCTAATACCACCCACTGTGTTGTAATCATAATCTTAATCATCTCATCTCATGTGCATGACACTCACTTTAAAACACAAAGGAGGATCTGGCTCCGAGGAAGTCAGCATTGGTCTTTTGGGCTGTGTGGATTGCGTGCAGGATGGTGATAGCTTGATCAACTTCCTGTCTTAGGAGGAAGTCGAGTTGGGAGCAAGCCCCAGCCTTGTAGTGGTGGCACTAGGAAAGGGAAAACATTCAGTAAACTATTTGAGATCCTCCAAATGCAATTCGATAAATTATGTCGAGCATCTATTGTGTACTACGCACAACGAAAGAAACAATATCCTTGCTGAGTCAGAGTCAATATCCTTTCTGTTCCTAGCAGGGGTACTATCCTACCCACTCCTTTTTTTTTTTTTGGTAAAGGGTCCCTTTGGTGAATCCAGTGGATTCCTTCTCAAAACAATATTTCTAAATACACAAAATAAAATTCACAAGATTACAAAAGATACCAATTGTAATGAAACACAGTTATCAAACTATTAAAAATACAAAAAAATGGTGATATGCTTCTTTATTAATACATGAAATAACAAGATCTAGTAGTGGACTTAATCATTCCCATAATTTCAAAATAGTGATGAGTGTAAATGGCAGTTCAAGAGGTTCTGATGCTTGGTAAAGTTTGGGAATCTTTGCTCTAAGCTACTCATTGTATCACAGTTCCCTAATTTCCTGGCCTCCCTTGCAGCCAGAGGTGGTCATGTGATTTCCTCGCTATTACTGTCTTGAACCTGGACATCTTATCTGAAGCTGTAGTAACTGTCTTGCAATCGTGGGGCAACAAGATTTTAGAAGTACTGAACCAGACATCAGTGTCCACCTCCAGATTCCTTGTTTTGTGAGAAAATGCCCCTAACGCCCTCCACGGATTTAAGCCACAGTTTAGGTTTTCTGTTAGTTGTAGCCAAATATATTTCTGATTAATACAATGTGGTTGAAAAAAGACTTTTTACCACATAATGGTAAGAATTTTAAACATTATTTTAATATTGAAATATATATATCAGCAGGGCCTGGCACAGTGGTTCATGCCTGTAATCCTAGCATTTTGGGAGGCTGAGGCAGGAAGACTGCTCAAGGCCAGGAGTTCAAGACTAGCCTGAGTGAGAGCAAGACCCCCATTTCTACAAAAAAAAAAAAAAAAGAAAAGAAAAGAAAAATTATTCAGGTGTGATGGCACGTGCCTGTAGTGCCAGCTACTCAGGAGGCTGAGGCAGGAGGATCCCTTGAGCCCAGGAGTTCGAGGTTGCAGTGAGCTATGATGTCATCACTGCCCTTTAGCCCAGGTGACAGAGTGAGACCCTGTCTCAAAAAAAAAAAAAAAACAACTCAAAAAGCAAAAAACACCATATTAACAGATATGGAGCATAGGACAAAATTCTTATGGATTTTTAAGGTAATTTTTCAGCATGTGTGGCTTACTTCTTGCTAAATCCCCAGATACCTTGGGATAAAAATCCTCAGTCCTAAGGGGTAATCCTCTGGAAATTTTTGAGGAGCAATTTTAAGAGAAACTAGATTGTGGTTTTATGAAAGCCAGGGTTGAATATTTCTAAAATAGTAATGGTCAATTTCAAAGACAGCCCAGTCACCTACCATAGTATCTGACTCACAGCGATGCTTAATAAATTTGTGTAGAGTAGCACTGGTGAATTTTTTCTTAAATGAAGAAAACAGGTTTATTAGTGGAACCTTTCCGGTGGTTAAGAAGGGAGTGGATCATTCCACTCAAATCTGCATATAATAGGCATGTAAATAAATATGCTGAATGAATAAATGGAACTTTCTTTATGTGACATATAAAGTTCAGATTTCAACTGCGACAGTCACTGCATTAGGTGCTATTATGCACCATATCCTATTTAATCTTTGTAATAATCGTGTGAAGTGGGCAACAATACATTACCTGCGACCAGGTGTGGGCTTAGGGCAACCAGCAAAATGGGGTCACCCAAATTTGTTGGGAGAAAATGGTTATCTGATGTCTTACTTAAGAACATCAGGAGTATTATAGCCAATGTGGGAAAAATCAAAACCTTTTCTACATTACATTTAATATTGTTTCAATTTTAAATTATATATTGGGGAGTGCTTTGTACTGCTAAGAGCATCTAAAGCTCTTCATCTGGTTCTGGAGGAAGATGTTATGATTCCCATTTTGCAGAACAAACCAAGGCTCAGAGAGCTTTGTTACTAGCTCAAATTACACAGCTAGTTAGTAGTAGAGCCCATTATCATGGTACTCAATGTTTATGACACATTATGTTTATGATGGTGCATACCAGTTTTCTTTTCAAAGTTGTGAATCTTATTGGTCCTTCTTTAAGGATTTAGAGTTTTAATCAAGTAAAGCATACAACAAAGTTAACCTAAATATCTGTTTTGGGGGTATTACAATACATTTTATTTTCTTTTAGTAATTGAAAGAATAAATGAGATGCAATCACTATCCCACTTATATGACAAATGACTTTGTATTAGTTTTGGGGTCAACGAAGGGAAAGTGAGGAGGAAATCAAGCAGGCCAAGAAACTACTCCCATGTCCTTCTGAGGTTGCTTGAATTTGCAAGAGAAGGGTCCCCAGCTGTCTTTACTTTTTAATCCTTAGCATGGTTCCCATTTTGGAAGCTGGGATCCCAGACTCTCTTCTCCTTATATTAGTATAAGCTGTATCAGGTAAAGGAGTATGATTTAAGGAAATGTATAAGTCGTTTAAGTAATACTTTCGGAAGACTGTATGACCCCACACTGATAATAAAGGGTAGAAGGGAAAGGTGAGACACAAATATGTTCTCCCAACATGCAAAAGTGAGCAAATGGAATTTTAGTTTATGTTTGCTTCCAATACCCTATACTAGAGGGTCTTGAACATTGGTGCCCATAAAAATCACTTGGGGAACTATTTAAAAATTTATCTTTCTGAGCCTTGTCCCCAGAGTCCCTGATTTTGTAGGCAGGAGTGGACCTGAGAATCTGCACCCCAGGTGATTCTGATGCTGGTGGTCTATTCACCATGCAGTAAGAAACACCATCCTTACACAGACTTCAGGAGTAAGTTAAAAATGTCTGAATTGCAATTACGTGTTTATTTCTGCCATCCTCACCACGGCCTGGGCAATTGTCCTATTACTAAATTTGCCTTTTTCCCCAAAACATTGACAGTCCCTAACCTGAATAGCACTTTTTTGGCTCTCATCTTAAATTGTCTGCCCAACTCAATTTACATCAAAGTATGAATAAGATTTAAATCCTCTTTTAGGGCACTTGGATTAAAAGATAATCTATCTCTCCTAAGGTAAATATTTAAATGTCTCTATTACCCTTTAGTTTTGTTTCTCGTTTGGGTAATTAACCTGGCAGCACTGTCTAGCTTAATTTGATTGCTGGAGGAGTCATGCCCACTTCCCTCTTCAGCCTGAAATATCATTCATTCTTGACTCATCCTGTGTCTTTGTGAATCCTTCCTTGGTAAACTTATCCACAGGGAAGATCCTTGATGTCCTCACCACTCCTTGCACATGTTTCAATTGTAACATCTATCGTCTTTTACTGGGATTGACTATTTTATTTTTGTATCTCCAGTTCTACATGCAGTGGGTGGCAAATAGCAGGCGCTCACCAACCGTGGAATGAATTTTAAAATTAATGCTAACTGGGAAACAAAACACGGAAATGCCAAGGGCTGACTACTAGGCAGTGGGGGCCTAGAATTAATAAAAATAATCCCTATCAGCACAGAATCCTCCTGAAGGGATCACCTGTCCCACTTTCTCATGTCGCTTTTCAGCCTCTTCTGACACCCCAATTTCCCGCCCACTCCTTTCCCTCCTGGAGACAGGTCAGGCAGGTATCCCAGCTCAGCAGCTCTGATTGGTCGGCGATGATTTCATTGTTAGGGAACATCCGGGCCTTTCCCCTCCCGGCAGCACCTCCCCAGAACCCGGCCTTCCCAGTTCTCACTCCCGCGTGCGCCCCACCCGTGCTGAAGCAAAACAACCGCCTCTCCCCAGCTTGCTTCTTGTCTTCGCCTGTGCTATCTCTTCCCGTTTCTGCGTCGAAGAGAGGCGTCCATATCCTCCAATGAGGGCCTAGGAGGCCGTTGTTAGCCAATCCGTAGCCAACGCCCCGCAATTCCGGGTGGGACTAGGCCTCCACACCTGTAACCGGACAGCCCGTTGGTTCCTTTATGGCGCTTGTTTTACGCAAAGCTTAGAGATCAAAAGGAAGGAGACACGGTCCTTGCAGAATGGGAAGGATCCGCACAGACTCTCTGGGTTTGACCGTTTTTGAAGACTAACCAATCGCTTTTCGGATACTTCCCCGCCTTTTGCGCCTTCATTTGAAAAAAGCCGGTGTGACGGACTTGGAAATTGGTTCAGTGACGGACACACAGAGAAAGCCAATGACGGAGGGTTGGAACCACCATTTGGTCCAATAAGAGAAGGAAGTCTCAAGGGCTCGGGCTTGGCGAGGCGGAGCGCAGGTGGGCGTTATTTGATTGACGGAGGGCTCTACTTATGCTTGATGGGGTGGGCTGGTCCTTGACGTTCTGGAGGCAGTACCTAGAGGAGGCGGGGCTGCATGAAGTAAATGGTAATGAAGGGTTGGGTCTCACTTAGTGGGCGGTGTTTGATGGATAGTTGACCTTGCCAATTGAAGGTGGAACCTGCTGCCCAATGGGAAATTAGGAAGTCAGAGGCGGGGCCGTGTGGGCGGGGCAAACTAAGTAGGGAGGTACAGGAGGAGCCGAACTGGGAGGGAGAGCTGTAATTGACAAACTTCTCAGCGAACCGGGGACCGCGAGAGGACGCGCGGCGTCCCAATGGGTGGGAGCCGGGGGCGGGGCTCCCCGAGGGGCGTGGAAGGACAAGGTGCGGGGAGGGGGTTGCAGAAGGAGGCGAGCGGCTGCTGCTCAATGGCGGAAAAGCCGCCGGTTCTCTGACTGCCTCGTTCCCCTAGCAGTTGCGGGGGAGTTTCCTGCCGGCGCGGCTGGAGTCTCTGTTTCTCAGCGTTCGGTGGTTGGAAGATGCTCCAGAGAGACGAGGCTGCGGCGGAGGAGGTGGCGGCAGCCGAATCGGCAGCGGCGCTAGGGTGGAGAGAAGGCGGTAGTGGCGGCGGCGGCGGCGTGAGGGGCCCGGCGGTGTAAACAGCCCCGGAGGTGGCGGAGGCCGTGGCCGAGACCCCGAGGGGGAAGCGGCTGCTGAGGCAGGGTCGCGCCTCCGTTGGAAACTTGGGCTGAGTACAGCTGGGGGCTCTGCGACGGGCGCGAGCCAGACGCCCTAGACTTCGCTTCCCTCTCTTGCCTCAGGTAAGGCCGCTCGGCGCCCCGCCGGAGGGAAAACGGCTGGCCGCACCGCCGAGGCCCCGGGACCGTTTTCGGGGTGCCGCCGAGCTGCGGCCCGGGCCTCTGCCCTCTGCCCGAATCCTCGCCTTTTTCCCTGCTGCCGGGGAACCTGGGGAGCGCAGCGCCGGCCTGGCTCCTGGGTAGGCCCCTTCCCCGGTCGCCGCCTCCGCTGTCGGTTGAGGGCTGGGAGAGGCGCGGGGAGAGAATATGAGTTTGCTCAAACGCCTGGAAGTCAACTGCTTCCCCCTTCTCTCTGCTTCAGTCTGCAAGCATCTCTTTCACACGAAAGCACTGGCGCTACCCAGGCCTTGGCTCATCTCTTCCTGATGAACACACTACCTTTTCCCATTTGTTTCCTCATTAGCTTCTGCCCTACTCTGCGCTCCACTTCACTTCCTTGTTAAATCTTCTTTCTCGCTCTTCTGTCTGTGCTTGTCACCATCCCCTTCCTCCTTAGTGGCTTTGAATCATTTCTCTTATCAGACTCCGGCTTCTTTTGCCTGCCCCTTCCTTTTTAGATGTCATTCTTCTTAACAGTGTATTTTTTAATTGAAACTGCTAGTATCGTTAGTACCCCACATCTCCTAGAGGCCCATTTAGAGTAAACTGACCAGATTTATGTGGTAGATCAGTTTTTTATACTGTAAGCCTGACAGCCTTAAAAAAAAAAAAAAGATTGTATTAAACGTTGAGTGTGAAAATAACACTGAAATAATTTTAAAAATGAAGGGCTGAGTGTTGGAAATAGTTATTTCATCATTTTTTAAAGTTGCATGACCTCTAATGTCAGATTTAGCAGAACTAGGACATTTGCCCATCTTATTTGGCAAAAATGCTGCTGAACCATTTGATAGCAGCCCAAATTCATCAGTATTCAAGTTCTTCTAAAGACAACTTGAAAACTTTAAAACAAGACATTATATGAACAACTAGGAAGCTGTTTTGATAAAGTCACAATTAAAGAGTTTTTAAAATAGGCTCCACATGTTTAATGTATCAAAATAAAGTTGGCAGAAGTCTTGTAAAAGGATTATTTAGGAATTTGAGTAGTCTTAGTGTTATGTAGCTATTTTGGGAAAAACATTCTTTTTCTGTTAACAAACGTTTACAACTACTGTGATGTGAGAATTACTGAGGTTTATTGTGGGATTAACACAGGAACTCTTTCTATTTGAGCTACTGCATGGATGGAGAAGTAGTAAATTGTTCAGGGTAGACAGTGTAAGTCACAGCATGTTCTAGGAGATGGAGAAACATGCCATGGACACTGAATTGTTAATAGATATTATTTCATTTACTTTCTCTGTTGTGCAATAGCAAAGTTTCTATTGTTGGCCTACTTTTAAATAGAGCATTTCTAAATAAATAGACAAGCTATTCTAATTATTATTATAATCTTTTCCAAGTATACAAGCCTTTTACAGATACAACAAAAGTAATATTAAAATGGCAGTTTTTTAAGGAATTGTTTTTGTAGGCCTCCCAAATAGGCAGTACGTTGTTACAATAGAACTTTTAAAATTAAGTATTTAGGACAAATTTTTTTTAGTCAACAGATATTCTTTCAGGGATAATCTTTTTTTTCCATGTGCTGCTTACTTTCAATGCCTTCTTTGTCTCTTTTTTTTTTTTAAATGGTTGTTTGTGTTTTCCCCTCTTCATTTGTTTTTGCTCTCATAAAATCTTATCACAGTTTCTGCAGTGGTTGTTTATGTTGTGTTACTAGCATGAAGTAGTATTTTACTAGAGTTTTCATATCCATTAGTTAAGATTTTCCCAGTTTCTTATACGTTATCCTTTGGATTTGTTGATGTGGTTATTCTATGAGAAGTGACCCAGCAGAACTTACACCTGTTTTCTTACACTGGATGTCTGATTTCTAGGAAGACTACAGGAATAGGTGAGAAAGCCTTTTCAGTTTGTCTAGTCATGTCAGTAAATACTGTTTTATGTTAGTAATTCACATATTATGATTACTGAGTCCCTTAAGATTACATCATCTGAAGGAATGGTGTAGTGTCTAAATAAGCTGTGTTTCTAAGAACGGCTGATTCACAAGTTGACAAGATCAGAAAAAGTGGCTTTTGTTGAAAGTTATTTTTTCCTGTGAAACATTTTTTTTGGGGTCTTTTGAATTAAAATGTGACGCTAATTGTCTCTTGGCACTCTTGGAAGAGTAGAATTTGCCATAGTATCAGTGATTGTGGAGATTCATTAAAAAGTGGCTGAGCCAACAGTGAAAGGATTGCAAACATGCCCTTGTAAATGGGTTGGTAAACATTGCTCTTATTGTACATGATACCGGGAGTGAATGGTATTCTCTCATTAGTGTTAGTTACACATAGGATCTATCTATCTATATTTTTCTCAATTCCATATCCCCCCATTCACAATACAGACCAGGCCCAGGGCCTTGGGCTTGGGTGTATATCAGATAGGATTTGCTCTGGCTCCTCTTTCTATACATTCAGTGTAAGAACACAGCTTGTGGTAAGCCTTAGAGGCATATAATGTATATTTTGTGAATATTTATGTATTATATGTAACTATTTAATATTTTAAGTATTAAATGACATTACCTAGCATAGGAAGTCGTGATAGTATTAATTCTAACTCTAAAACTAACTTCTTAAAATACAGCATGTGATATTTTACATTTTCTGTGAAATACGCCTTTCACAATTCACTGACTTAAAGGAAAATTAATTGGCAAATAACTGACGGTATCAGAATAATAAAGGTTTGTTTTAAAAAAATTCCAAAATTCTAATAGCAAAATTTATTCAAGTAATAGTTTAAAATATAAAATCATGATTAGGGGTAAGAGAATTTGGGGGAATATAATATTTCTGTATTTTCAGTGATTCTTCACATTGTACTTGATGCTTTTTATTTTTTCCCTTGATTAACTAATTTCAGAATTGCAATGAAACAGAATACCGCTATTTATATTGGCAGCTTTAAAGTTTTAGTGTAGAGTGTATAATATCTTACATATTATGTTAGTAGAATTGATGACTAAGAGGACTTATTAGTTGGGGATATGGCATAAGATTCCTAGAAACAGGACAGACCTCAGATAGCTGATCTAGACTACTTCCCAGTTTTTTTTTCCTAAGAGACATGGTCTCACTTTATTGCCCAGGTTGGAGTGCAATGTGGCCTGATGGCTGGCTGCAGCCTCAAACTCCCAAGCTCAAGCATCCTCCTGCCTCAGCCTCCCAAGAAGCCAGGACTACAGGCATGCACCACCATGCCCAGCTAATTTTTAAATTTTTTGTAGAGAGTTTCACTGTGTTGCCCAGACTGCTCTTGAACTCTTGGCCTCAAGCGATCTTCCTCCCATAGTGCTGTGATTACAGGCGCGAGCCACCACACGGGGCCTACAAGTAAAACATTTCTAATATGATTTAATCTCTTTGGGTATACTTGATTTAGGAAGATTGACACTTTTGAACATTCCACCTGTGTTCCTCCCCTTAAAGAATATTACCTAGAAGACTAACTTCAGTGATTTGATCAGGTAGTTTTTAATCAGTAAAAGAACACTTCACTAAATTTTGATAAAGTTATGAAGTTTTCTAAAATCATAATTTATATACTGTATATATTTATTTCTCAGACTAAAGATTTTGAGATTTAGTTTTTAGTAATGTCTAGCATCCTAGGAAACTTACACACCATATATATGCTCATATTTTTTAAAAAGTTTTCATTCAAATTTCAGGGTGATTTATTTCTCCCCTTCAATTTAATTTTAATAGCAACCATAAATACTTTGTTTCTGAACTATGGTAAATCATGACATAGAAGAGATCTCAAGTAAATTTTCTTGTTATTTTACTGTAGCTAACTGTGACCACATCTGCAATATCTTGTTAATTGCTTGGCATAACATTTTTTATAATGATACCCTTTGTAATAACTTGTTTAACTGCATGAACCCTGTAGCTTGATCAATTGTATTTTAACTTGTTAGTTCATGTATTAGACACATTTAATAAGATTTGTAACATTTAAAGCACAGTTTACCAATTTAAAGTTTTTGGTTTACCAAATAGTTTATTAACTTGCTAAATATAAAATGGGTTCAAAGTTTTCTTTTACAGTATGTTGAAATAGCATCAAGATTATATTTATTGACTTTAAATTGATTTGTTTCTTGAAAATTCAAAATCTTAAAGTTTAGAAACAATACTACTTTGGAAAACTTGTTTTGTATCCTTGGGAACAAAGGATCCGGTCAGATATGATCTGATACTTAGAGGAGATAGACAAACTTTGGAAGTCGTCTGTTGACTATTAAGGAACTTGTGTTAGTCTTAGAGATGGAACCAATCACTGGCGGTGATATAGGGAGGATAAGATTGCTGTGATTTTTGTCTACGTAGAATGTCCTTCACTTCAGAATAGGTTGTGAATGAAAAGTTCATTTGTATGGTAGAAATAGGAAAATCTTTTTCCTTTATGGAAAACTGTTTTAAAATGTGGTGATGTTATGAGGTAGAACCAAATGTGTAATAGAAAATTAAAAAAGTGAATAAGTTTTGTTTGATAGGTGGTATATACTTGAGATGAAGCAGATTTGATAAAGAATATATAGAGTAATTTGTAAGGGTCTGAGCACTTTTAAGTTTGAAAGTAATATCACTGATTCTTAAATCTGATTGCATTTTATTTTCTTGATGTAGGTGTCAGGAGCATTCCTAACATTGAAGAGGGATGGTTAATAGATGTTTTTATAAGTAAGAGAATCCTAGTAGTGTCTCTATTACTCGTGAGTGCTCAACCTATCCGGGCAAAGTGTTTTTCTTTTTCCTTGTTTTGACTAAAGCATTTACCTCTGAGGTAAGGAAGTGGCATTATTTGTTGGACACAGGTGGCCCTACTTAGTCCTTTACAAAGGAAATAAGTAACTCAAAGCACTCCCAATGGTAGAATATATAGATCAAGTTTAGATTTGG